ATTGTTAGGAAGAAGAGCAATAATTACTGGAGGAAATTTTGGCAACGGAACCTAAATAGAATTTCGTAATGTTAACATAATTATATTTAACCTGCCTTACCAATATATTAATAATATTTACCTGTAATATATACACTCTTACATATTTTGCAATAGAATTATTTTCCTTAATTTTGTTGATTACAAGTGGAATATCGTTATATGATTAGATACTTGTCTCATTAACTGAAAATGTAGATCCAATTATGCATCCCATCTGCAATGAATATCGGAGGCGAGGTTTTAGTTTTGTATTGTCGGACATAGCTGCAATCGGTCCATCATAACCAATTGAATCCAAAAATCGCTTAAAAAGAGCTACGTTTTCAAAACAAAGTGTTGGATCCGTTAATATATCTTAAGAATTAGAACGCAAACGCCTAAAGATTGTTAAAAAGCTTTATTAAGTTATTTTTTAAATAAAATGTACCAAGATAGTAATTTTATACCTGATATTCTGGATCGTTAAACCTTCTAAGTTTTGTCGAAATAAATTTAATGCAAGCGGACTAAAGGTACCAAGTACTATGAGAAAGTTTTTAAATTCCTCAGAATATTTCAGGTTTTGTTTACCCTTATTTTTCTCTTTTTTAGATGCAACTTGTGTCATAATTTCACAAAGACCTGTAAAAACTGGTTTTTCTTTAAAAGCACCATTAATACCTTTATTTGCCAATGTTACCCAAACATCTGAAGCAGTATCAGAGTTATTGTCTTTGATAAGAGACCAAACGATATTAAGATCAACATATTTCAAATACTTTTTCAGAGGATCATTTTCGAAATAGTGTTTTGGGATATGCTTCAATTTTGATTTTGGTGGTTTTACAATTGCAATTCGATTTTGTAAATTCTTATCAACTTTTAAGCTAAGACATTCATTACAAGCACTTTTATCAGTATATCCTGCGCAATTCATTGAACGTACAGAATTACCTTGATTAAAGATATTTTATTAATATGTATATATACAGATTATATGAAACAAATAGCGCTTCAACTTACAATCACGATCAACTCGCCATATTGCTTCTGAATATAACTGACGATTCAATCGGCATTTTTGTGAATGAGTTAATCTCTTACGCGTAAATTTATTTGGAAAGAGATTAGGGAAAACCTCCTTTGCTACAATTTCAATTCTTCTAGTTCCACCAAATTGAACAGGAGTACGACTGATATATTGGCGAATTGATCTAGATTTGAGACCAGGGCAAGGTTTCATTTATTGTTAGATAAGGTTATTGCATCATCTTCACTACTTGAGTATTCATCCTCAATATCACTTTCTGTTTGTACTTCATTTTCTTCATCAACGTTAAACAAATCATCATCATCCATTCTATCATCATCATCACTTTCCCATTCTTCGGCACTACTAACATCATCTGCATTTTCATTTTTTTCATTTTTTTCTAGCTTAGAAATTGGTTTATAAAAATTCAAGATAGATTGAACTCCTTGCTTAGCCAAACATCCTTTACCCTTAACGTGAATATTTAAAAAGGTTTCATCATAGCGACGACTAAGTTTAATAGTTTTACCACAACGACAAATAACTTTCTTCATACGAAGTATGTGAGCGCAATATGGATGTTTTGCAAGTCTTTCCTTGCTATATTTCCAAGCAAATGGCATTTTAAGAAAAACAAAAAGAACCAAAGTTTATGATAAAAATATGAAGAATTTTTAAAAATAAAACGTATAACAAGAGATGAAAATACACAATAAAAAAAAATAAAATGCACGATAAAAAAAAATGAAATGCACGATGAAAAAAAAGATGAAATGCACGATGATGAAAAATTGTATGATGAAAAATTGTATGATCACATTTTTTATATATAGATATATACTAATAATGTATAAATGTATTTTATACAAATTAAAATCTGACTTGCTTTAAAAATCTATTTCCGTTATACAAACGTATACCTAACTTCCAAATTTACCGACTGATCGGATTATACAAATTTAACTTTAAGTTTCTAAAAAGTGATATAGTAACTTTATACAAACCTGAATCCCAGTTATATATATAATCTTCGGGGTCCTGCTGAAATCCAGGTCCAGGAAGGGCGTCACCTAAAGAAAAGAAGCAAAAGGAACGTTAATTACGTTCACAAATACAAAAAAAAAACCCAAAAATAACTTCCCCAATTTACTTTAATAATTCAAGCCAAGGATAGACGTGTGGTGAATTAATTAGAGATTTTGGTATTGAGTTTTGCGGTAAGTTTACTATTAATTTCAAAGTTTCTATCGACTTTCGCAGTAATAGAGACTAATAAAGTTATCAACCCAAAAATCCAGGGTCTAGGAAGGGTGTCATCTAAAGAAAAGAAGCAAAAGGAACGTTAATGACGTTCCTAAAAAAAAAAATAAGCAAAACACCCTCCCTCAACTTACCTAAATAGCCCAAGCCAAAATCCAGGTCCAGGAAAGACGTCATCTAAAGAAAAGAGCAAAATGAACATTAATGACGTTCCTAAAAACAAAAAAAAAACAAAATAACTTCCCCAACTTACTTTAATAATCCAAGCCGAAATCCAGGTCTAGGAAGGGCGTCACCTAAAGAAAAAAAGCAAAAAGAACATTAATGACGTTCCCAAAGACAAAAAACCCCCAAAAATAACCTTCTTGATTTACTCTAATAGCCCAAGCTGAAATCCAGGTCTAGGAAAAGCATCACCTAAAGAAAAAAAGCAAAAGGAACGTTAATTACGTTCTTAAAGACAAAAAAACCTGAAAATACATTCCTCTAACTTACCTTTATAGCCCAAGCCGAAATCCAAATCCGGGAGGGCATTCCCTAATGAAAAAAAGCAAAAGGAACGTTAATAACGTTCCCAAAGACAAACAAAAAATCAAAATTACCCTCCTTCAACTTACCTTTATAGCCCAAGCCAAAATTGAGTTTTAGGCAGGTGTCTCCTAAAGAAATGAAGTAAAAGAACATTTAGTAATGTTCTCAAGATAAAGAAAAAGAAATTTACACATACTTTTCAAAATTCAAGCCATCCAAGTTGTTCTGAAGTCAAAGTCCAAGTCCGTTTTAAAGAAAAAAAGGTGTTTTTTTTTAAAAAAAAAAAAGGTATGAATTTGACCAGATTATCTGATCAATCCGGTCAATCTGGTCATTTGTGTAATATCTGATCAATTTGATGTTATTCAACAGATCCATCCAGATTATCCGCAATCTGTTCATTCTTAATCTGGATGATCCATTTTTTGATTGGATCAGATGACAGATTGAACGGATTTCACTGGAGCACACTGGGCAAATTTTTAGGTAAATCTTGACAGTCACCTAGGGATTTGGGTTGTATCATTGTTTTTAATAGTGATATAACCATTTAGGTGATAGGTTGACTTGTTCTTAGGAGAAGTAGTTTTGTTTTATAATGCTTAATTCTTGTATGTATTTTGTTTATCTTATTTTAAGTTTTATATATGTAAGTAAGCGTAGTAGTTATAATAAAATAAGATCGCATTTAAATAAAAATAATAAAAAAAAAAAAAAATGAATAATAACACAAGTAGTAATTTTTTTTTTTTTAAAAAAAAAAAGTATTGATAAATTTTAGGAGGTGATTTAACTCCAGTTTATTTAACCCAAGGAGTATAAAGTTAGCAAACTCTTCATTGAGTATTTTATTTTAAAATTTTCTTTTGATTTAATTCAATAACAATATTAAATTTATTATATCATCATATAGAGCATAATAGTTTTTAAAAGGTAAAAACAAGTTTGAGTTTATTACGTTAATTACATCAAAGAAATATCATTAAAGGCTATGATAAAAAACAGCAGGTATAGGTATAGTAAAATAAAAAATGAAGAATCACCATTATAAATATACGTTCCTAAACTTCAAAGCCGTTGCCCCTGCTAAACAATGCTTTATCAGAATTCCTCTAACTTCTGTGATTAAATATTTTACAAAAAAACAAAGTCTTTCAGGACACACAATCTGTGACACTGTCAATTTTATTGGACTTCGCAGAATTTCTGGTTTTTTTTGATTAAATTTAGTAAACTTAAATTTTGTAATATTATAATAATTATTTAAAAAAATCAATATTCAATCTACAATAGTCATTTGAGAAGATTTTTAGAAAAAGTAATTTTTGAAAATTTTTTTTTTTGTTTTAAAGCTTTGTTAAGGTATTAAAGATCTGAAAATGGATAAAACTAACTGATGAGAGATAGAAAATTTTCCTTATAATGACGCAAGGATAGACTAAATACTCATTTGTAAATGTTTAAGAAATATGCCGCTAAATAATTCTTCCCTTCCCTATTCATTTCATTTTTCCCATTCTCTTTCGTTCTCCCTTCCCTTTTCACTCTCCCTTCCTTTTTTTTAGACGAGTATGGACGTGAATTTGGTAGGAAATCAAAGAGGAAGAGGACCTTCAAATAATTATAGCATCATGATCTTATTTCTAGTTCAACACCCTAAATTTTTTTGATTGGATATACAGTCAACTCTGGATATAACGAACTCTCCATTCCAGAAGGTTTAGTTTGGTATATAGTGAATTCGTTATATAATATATCGAACTAGTTTTCTTTATAGGTAATTTAGGCCAAATTTGTAATGCTGGCCAAAATTATAATTTCTTTTCATAAATTTTCGAAAAAATTACTAGTAATTCTGGCCAGCACTATAAAATTGGCCTGGACTACTATATAGTCACATGACCGTTCGTATAGAGAGTATAAAGTTATTATCCTATGATCAATACGATCTACCCGATGGATAATCCGATCAATCCGTAATCCTTTTTGACGGATCCGGGAAAACGTCTTCACGATCCATTAGCATATTTACGCCAGTACCATCCCATTGCGTAATGATGCGCAAAGTAGTCACTTCTACCATTATGTACACTTTGATGCCGACGGAGACATTTAATCGTGTTATTCATCATTTTTACGATAAAATAAAAAGACAACTTCTTACGTATTCAATTTGTAGATGGTACATATAGCAAACTTGGTCCTTCTGATAATAAATAGTGCTTTACTTAACACAATTTATTATAATGGCATCAAGATTGGTAATAGACACTACGAGTTCCTGGTCTTTCATTTGCCAATTGAGAGATGGGTTTTGCATTAACAATTGGATGGGTGATTTTTTTATAAGTGTTGCTAAATATGCTACTCGTATGGGACAGTGTTTTTCGAGTACCTATGCCGTCCAACAACTGCTGGTAGATGACATTAGAGAGATTCCCGATGTTAGTGTACATTTTCTGATGGTGTAGGGAGAATATCGTTTTCATTGACAAAAAAAGTAGCCAAGAAAATTAGAATTAAAACTATTCTTAGTGTTTTCCAGCTGGTTATAAAGGAGTATTGTGTCAATCAAATTTTTCGGACGATAACCAAGCTCAGGTACGCCTAAATCAACTCAAATTGAATCGAAACATCGTGTTTTAGAAGTTATGGAAGTTCAACCTTTATTCCAGCATATCTTAATCGCTAAGCTATTATGCTATTACGTTATTATCTTCACTAGGAGTACCTGATAGTATAGTATATTCGTTGAAAGGAAAGATGCGTAAGTTAATGATTTGTACAGAATACTCAAAAACAAAAAACATTGCTATAAATGTTTTAAACAAAATCATCAAATCAGTATAGTCTCTGGCAGATCTTGTAAAAGCCGGATTTTTACGAAAATGTGATAAGTATCTGATGAATTTATTATCGTTGAAACGTATAATGATGTTAAGAGACTTAGTTAATCATCATTATAAAAAAAAATTTGAAGCAATTTTATAAATTAGTGGAAGTAATTGCGCGAAGCAAGAATGAACAGAGAAATTTCTCTATTTTATTAGAATTTCTCAATGGGGATCAGTATATTAAAGAAAAGGTGATAATTCGCGTGGACAAAGGTGTAGGGCACGGACAAATGAAAACGATGAGTTGGTGGCTAAGTATAATGATGAGGGGATAATTACGATTCCGGAAAAAAAAACCATGTTTATATTAAAGATATTATTCTCTTTGATTATTATGTTTATAAATAAAATCATAAAATTAATTTATATTATGATCAAAAACAAATGCATTATCCAATAGATTAACGAACAAAGAAATTTTTAATGTTATACATATACTGACTTTACGAAAATAGTCCTCTTTAAAGATTTACTTTTAAAGAATATAGAATAATTTCACAGTCATTTTGTGCGAAGTGATCAGCTGATGATCACCTGCGTAAATATCATTTTTGCTTAGTCTTTGAGCTCACGAGCCAGCTCGAATGAGCTGAGAAACTGATTGCGAGCCGTGGCTAAGCTTAGCTTAATATATCTGGTTGTGAGGCTCGAGCTGGCATAGCTCATATAGAGGAGTAGAGCACTAAATATTGCTTCTTCATGGGTCCATTATGGAACCATGTGATTGAATTTAGCATTAGGATTTAGAAATAATAAACAGATCAAGTTATTTTCAAATTAATAAAAGACAATCAAAATCAAAAATTAAGCTTTAAAAACAACCTTTTCTTCTTCAAAATTTTTTAATAATTCTAATTTTTTTTTGATCAAATGATTGAAAGAAGCACATGAAAAATATTTTCATGAAACAGTTACAGCTATATGGCACAAGGATCTAT